TGCTAAGCCTCTTTCTTCTTAGCCAGGAGTGGGGGACTGGCTGTCTGGTAATTAGCTTAATTTCATTTTGCTGTTAGTGTGATGTCCCTGTCACCAGTCAGTTCCCTACCCTAGTGGGCTGCCTCCCACTCATGTGAGCACCTGGAAAAACTTAGTGGAGCTGAAGAATAGTGAACAGCTGTAACCAGTGAATCATCAGCTTAAAGAAGAGTAGAAAATAGGTGATTATATTGTCAACTCGCAGTTGAGTAGGTGCAGAGACGTGACTTCCCTCGGGGCTCCCAAGCCCCTTTCTTCTGTCATTTCTTTTTTGTATCTTCTTTTTCTATCTTTATCTTCTTTCTTATGTTTTCTCCACTTCTGCATCTTCTGCCTTCTCCACCCCAAGGTCTCTGTCCCTTTTGTCTCTTCCTCCCCTCTCTTCTTTTTGTCCCTTTACCTGTCTTCCCTCACCAATGTCCATTCTAAGCCTTTCTCCTCTGATAGTTTCTTTCTTTCCTCCCTGTAGAGGCCATGTATGGAGGGGAGCATTGTGGCAGTTATTTGTATTTGAAGTAAGAGCTTTTTGCCTTGTTCCTAACTTAGGTAGTGGGCAAGTTGCTCTCAGTTGACCCCTTTTCCTTGGAGTCAGTGATTCTGTTTGGACAGTGCTCCCTGCAGCTGCTGATGACCTCTGCCCAATTAGGTCTCAAGGAGTCATTTCATTAAATGACCTAAAGATTTGTACAAGTTTCAAGTCTTCTCAATCCTTGAGACCAAAAAAGACATGTCATTCTCCCATCGGCTTTCCCTATTGTTGAAATCCATCCTGTGGGCTTTCCTGGTTAACATGCATCATCAGGCTGTAACAGAAATGTTGGCTTCTAAACTCTGCACACATTTACTATGGTTGAGCATTGGTGAGCACAGACCATTAACAGGGCAGCCTGGAGAAGAAAGAGTTCTATTGGACAGAAGACTGCATTCTAATCCAGTCTGCTGGTTACTTGGTCAGACCCTTCAGGCAATTAGCTCAAGTCGTGATCCTTAGTTTCCAGCCTTAGTAAAATGGAGTGATGTTTCCATGCCTACCTTATAGTGGTGGTAAGTGGTGTTTAAATATAAATTAAGGCATATTAAACATTTTAAGAGTTTATTTGAGCAAAAATTGACTCAAATAGGGCAGCACCAAACAGGATGTGGTTAGGAGCGCTCTGCCCACAGGAGCTGGGGAGAGACTTATAGTATAGAAAAAGTGTGGAAGCGAAGAAAGGAAATTATTGATTTTCTATAGCTTAGAACGTAGTTGGCTGTTTGTGATTGATTGTCCTTAGGTTTCAATTTCATAACTGTGAGGCATTTACAGGTTTAGATTTTTGTTTGCTCACATAGGCCGCCATGTCATTGGAGCCTCTCAGTGTAGTGGCCTCCTTGTTGAATTAATTTAACAGTGGATTAAGTGTGGTCATTTGTGTGAAAACATTTTGAAAATTAACAGTAGCACACAAAAGCAACGTGGTCTTAATGTCCACAACATTACATTCTGTCATTAAATACTTCTAGGATACCTTCAGGCAAAAACAATAATTCATCTAAGTAACAAAAGCGTTATTTGGTGTCTAAATAGGCAAAACTGACCTATGAATACTTTTAGAGTTTTCATTTATTAAGCCTTTTAGACAATCCAAGTTTAGTCAAATAAGTGAGACATAATCATTGAATACATTTAAGAAGTTGTAAACGTGTTGTCTGTATCAGTCCAGAGACAGGAAACACATCAGTTAATTGCACATAGAAAATTAATATAAAGAATTATTAAATTGGTAAAAAGGGGATTAACTATGAGGGGGTAAAGATAACTCTAAAGAGTACGTCAGCAAACTGTGGCCCTTGGACCAAATCTGACTGTTGCCTGTTTTTGTAAATAAAGTTTTATTGTAATACCGCCAGGTCCACTTACTTACAGTCTATGGCTGCTTTTGCCCTGCAATGGCAGAATTTTCTGGTTGTGACAGAAACCGTAAGGCCAGCAAACCCTAAAATATTTACTCTTTGGCTCTTTACAGAAAAAGTTTGCCAACCCCTGCCCTAAGAATATAAGACTGTTTAGGGAGCAGAGAGCCAAGGAAAGAACAAACTTGGAAGAGGCCGTCACTTGTACCCGATGCTAGGATCCAGGCATGGGTGGAGGGAGTGTGGCTGTGGTCACTGGATGTTTGGAGAAGTTTGCTGACATGCTGTAGGAGGACAGGGAACCACTTGCTAGGGTGTCTGTGCAACTTCTGAAGGGTGTGAGGCCCTGGGTCTCTCTCAGAGAAAGCCCCCACTGGCTGCTGTGCTGTAGAAGCAAGGCAAAAAAACCCCAAACATTGCAGGCTGAGAAAAGTCCCTGTCTCAGCAGTGTCCTTTCCATTGCCCTCTTCTAACAAGGGCTACCATCGTGGCACTGTTTTCTGACAAGCCAGTTGACCTTACCCTGTGGCCTGGAGGGAGTGGAGCTGATGGTCCTGTCCAAAGGATTCAGCTGAGGGTTCTGGCGACCCAGGGCTGCCGTGAAGGACTAGGTCCCCCTCTCTGGACTTCCCTGGTTCGCAGTCATGTTCTGAACACTATATAGGGCAGGGGAGAATGCAGTGCCTGTCCCATCCTGCAGTATCTCTCTGTCTGCTTTCTTTGTCATGGAAGTTTAGCTGTCAGAATCCTGAACTCTGTCATCGTGGAAGGCTGTATGCATCTTTGGGTTTTATTAGGAATATAATCATGGTTCCTAAGGAGAAAGTTACTAATCATGACATCTATTCATTTTGCCAATAAGTGCTTATAGACTGATTACTATATACAGTGTAACAAACTAAAATAAAGGAACAAATCATTTAAGTTGAATTAAAATATTTTGGAGAATATTTTTGTTATTTTTTGTGGCAATTCTTACTTTAAAAATACTTTGTATAAATCTTTTTCTTTGTTTTCCCCTTGTTTGATTGTAAAATCTGTAGCATTACAAATGTAAGAAGTAACCTACCCTTTCACTATGATAGCTTTAATTGTTTTTGATATTGCAAATTTTTTAGTCTCTGCCCATAAACATATATTTTGCCTAATTATAGTATTTATACACTTATTTGGGCATTTTGTTTTTTCTTAGCTTGTCAAAACATTTTTCAGAGTCTCCTTAAGTCAAGTAATTTGAGTTAAATATGAGCATTAAATGTATATAGTCAGAGCAAGCTGACTGCTTGATGAAGCAACTCCAGAATCTCAGCGACCTAACACAGTAGATGATTTAGTTCTTGCTCATCGGGTATTTCAGCCCCGGTTTTAAGCAGGCAGCCTTCTGCAGGGTGATTCAGGATCCAGGCTCATTCTGTCTTGGGGCTCCGCCCTCTCCTCAGGCCTCCTGAGTCAGTGCTGCTGGCAGAGGGAAGTAAGGAGAGAGCAGGGGAGAGAGACTGTCTCAGTCAGTTTGGGCAACTTTGACAGAATACAGCAGAATGGGTGGCTTAAACAACAGATATTTGTTTCTTACATTTCTGGAGGCTGGCTGGGAAGTCTAAGATCAAGGTGCTGGCAGGCTGAGTGTCTTGTGAGGGTCACTTCCTGTTTCATAGAAGGCCATCTTCTCACTGTGTCCTCACATAGCAGAAGGGACAAGAGAGCTCTTGGGAGTCTCTCTTATAAGGGCACTAATCCCGTTCATGAGGGCTCCATTCTCATGACCTAATCACCTCCCAAAGGCCCCATCTCCCAGTACTGTCACACTGGCAATTAGGTTTAAAACAGGAATTTGTGGGGGACAGAAATGTTCAGTCTATGGCAGAGGCTGTTATGGGCCAAGCGTGGCAATGGCCACATCCCTTCCACTCACATGCCATTGACCAGAAGACAGTCACATGACAACACTGAACCACGGGGAGGCTGGGAAATGCAGTCCAGCTGCATTTGGAAGGAAACAAGGCAGATTTTAAGAACATATAGCAAGCAGCCTCAGTCACAATACCTAATTTAGATGCTACATACCAGATGGTTTTAATATATTTCTTATATTAATTGTCACTTTAATACATATATCATTTGTTGAAATTATGAATATCGATGTTTTTTTAATAATAGTTTCAAAAAGTAATCATGCTCTGTGTGTGTGCCTATTTTAGCACTTGGCATACTGTGCTATAGTTAGTTGAATCTGTCTCTTTATCCCCAACCTAGCCCAGTCGGTGCTTTCCACGTGGGAAGTGATCAGTCAACACCGTGGCAATGACTGGCAATAGATAAAAGAGATTTTTACTAAGAACGCTAACTTTGGAAATAGCTAGAAAAGGTGTATTCTCTCTTTTCTTTCCCCTCTTTGCTCGTTGCCTCTTTCTTCTGCTCAGTGCATGCCAGGGATGGCCATTCCTACTCCCTGAGGTTCACGCAAGAGCCCTGGTTCAAGTAGTACGTTCTCCCCGCTGCTTGCCTGGTTTTGGTCCAGCCCACATTTTTCTGGGTGTAGGTATTACATATGTAAGTTGTAGATATTTCAGAATAGACAGGGGTATTTTGAGACTCAGAGATGTGTTCTGTAGATTCTTATATGAAATAGTGAGCCCTGTGGATGTTTTAAGCCCTGGGCCAAGAAAGGATGGTCATGACTGGAGCCACTGTGGGCATCCAACCTTCACTGGCTGGACTGCTAAGCAAGGCAGCTCTGGCAGAGCCTAAGGTTTGGAAGGGGACTGACCTAGCCAGGGGTGACCCAAGACATGACTGGAAGCTCCAGCAGACTCCATAGCCTCCTTTGTGCTGCAGTGTCTGAACGAACATGACTATATGTAAACAGAGTGCTGTGAAAAGTCTTCTGTTCCTTTGAAAACAGCTTTTACCTCTTGTTTCTGATTCTTCCTGACAGCAAAATGAATGCATTCTTATAGAAAAGTTGGAAAAACCAAACACATATAAAGTAGAATGTATAAAGTTCTTTAATTGTAAGAAATTGCATTTATCTATAAGAATTTTAATTGCTTATCTTTTCCACCTTCCAGGCAAAGCCAAAGCTGATTGAGCCACTTGACTATGAAAATGTCATCGTCCAGAAGAAGACACAGATCCTGAATGATTGTTTAAGGGAGATGCTGCTCTTCCCTTATGATGACTTCCAGGTAGGTCCCTTTTAAGTTTCTATACATAGAACCACGTGGTTGATCGTTAAAAAAATTCTTTTCTATCTATTGATTTATTATTTCTTTAGTTAATTTAAGATTTTTAAAAGATGAAAAGCAGTTGATATTTAAGAGAGAAAAGTTATGTCGTTGTATTCATCCAGGCATTCTTTTATGAGTTGTTTTTTTTTAATGGTATTATTTTTGCACATATATATGCAGAGATGAATATGCAGATATATGCACAGGTATGTATATATAACACATATGTGTGACATTTTTTTCAAGTGTGTGTTTTATCTTGAATAGAAGCACTGTACTCTGGGATGATATCATAGACGGAAGTGCCTCCTATGTCTTATGAGATTTGTTTGGAGAGGAATTTAGGGTTTTTGCTAAATGTTTAAGTCTTAAGGATGGGATTTGCTGGGGAGCCATGGAGGATTTTGTCGTGCATCCTTTTGGGATGGCACTCTGGGAGACTGCAATGAGAGAGGCCCTGAATTGTGGGCTCACAGAGAAGGGTTTGGGGATTATCAGGAGTGTCCTAGCATCTCCCGCTCTGGTGCAGTGGCAGGTGCTGTTCCTTGAAGCTCAGTAGCTGCCAGCAGAGATGGTTCCTGCTGTGAGCTGCTCTCTAGATTGTTGCTTGAAGCCTTTCTGATTATGGCCTGTGGCTGAATGACCCACAAGAGCTTTGAGGCTAGTGAGGAGCAGAATAACATTCTTCCTCCAGGAATCCCGTACAGTGGCGTTAGATGCCTGGCCACCTAGTCACCTTGGTCTGTTTGGAGGTTCTGGTTGCTTCCCGCGCTTGCCTAGGACCTGATCTTGGCGCTTCCTTCTCCTCTACCTCCATGCTTCTCTACCTCATGCTGTTACCATCCAAGCCCTGACTTCTGTGAATTGTGCTGCCTTATTTTTTTTCTTAAGTTTCATTGATTCTTTGTTGTTTAACTTGAAAAGTACTACATACTTGTTAAAAAAAAAAAAAGGCAACAACAAGGGCTATTGAAATCCTTGACATTAAAAGCCTCCTCCAACCACCTTCTTTCTAATCCCACTCCCCAGAACATAACCTACTATATACAGTTCTTTGCATACTGAATTGTCTTTCAAAACTTCCATGTTAATAACAATTGTTAAATTATATTCCTTGAAGTTTTTTCCCCCCACCAAATTTAGGAGTCTCCACTTTACAGCAAAGGTGAGAATTTTCACAAATGTTCACTTTTTCTAACTTGTTAGAGATTCATGTGGAGAAAATGATTATTCTTTAGTTCTTTCCTGAAAAATAAGGAATGCCATGGGATTGAAATTGGCCATTAGTGTGATGCTGCTGCCAAAGTGTGCTCCACTGATAAATGGTTTCAGATCATGCCCCAAAATATAATGCTTTGAAAGCTTCATTGCATGAATAGACTACCCATTTAAAGGACAAATAAATGGAAATATCAGAATGATGCCTTCGCCTGTGGTTTTGGCAACAAATGTATTAGCATGAGAAGTTAAATCCGATGATTACAAATTATACTCCATGTTGACATATTTTTCCTGTAGTGTGCTCTGAGGAAGCTAAAGGTTATCTCAAGTTTCTCTGAGCATGAAGTATGTATTCTTCTGGGTTTTAATTAGAGTAACAAAGTTATTTTGAGTTTTGCAACCTAGAATGCAAAGTTGTGTTTGCAGCTCTGAGATAAAATGCTTAAGAAGCAAACAAACCAAAGAAACAAGATACAGGTAATTTAGTGTCATCTTTTAGCTCAGGGGCAAAGAACCTGGATGTTTAAGCAGCTGTAGAATCAGATGGTTGAAACTTTGAGAAAAACTCCTTTGTCCTGTTCACCTGTAACTACTTCTCTGGGGATACCAGGCACAAATATTCTAGGAAAGGCAAAGATGCTAGGAAAGACATTTTGCTGACCGGAATTGAATGGGCGAGTAATATTTTCTGTTTTCAGGAAGTCTTTCCAAAGATTAAGGAGCTTAAATTTCAGCTTTGATCCCCATCACAGTAATTGTGATGGGCCCTATTCAAGTTTGGATGCTGTTATTTGTTTTCTTGGAGACTTCCCTATTCTAATCAAGTAAGGGCATTTACACTGTACATTTTTGCTGAATTGTCTTGGTGATTCTAATTACTGTCTAGTTAGTTGAATGAGCAAAATGTTTTGGCAGTGCCACAGATTCCTTCTGTCTGTCCTTATTTTTTTAGGCAGAATAGGAGTGGAATTATTGTCTTATTAGAGGCAGAGGGAACAAATTAGATCAAGGGAAAGTATTTTATTTCATATGGAAAAAAGATAGCAAATTGGTTAGGAAATGGGTCAAATAGTGAGCAAAATGCATGCTGGGGGTTAATTTGCAGTACTACCCTTACTAATTAAGCAATATTATTTAACTATTAAAATAATAAAACTTTGGTGACGTTCTGTCAAATATATTCAGGATGATAATTTTCCAAAATATGTGTGAATAGTGAGGATCCATCTGTGCAGTTCTAAAGTGGGACGTGTGTTGCTATCCATCAGCTCCTGAGGATGTTGGAGTGTTCTTTGAAAACGAGTCTTTTGGAGAGAAGCTTTGTCTGTCAGATGTACTTGCCTAAGAGTGGGGGAAGAATGTTTAAAACAAAAAAACTGAGAGACGTGATGTAAATGTGGATTTTACAAAACAAAAGGATAGTTCTCAGCCATCAGAATATTAGTGAAGTAAAATTTTATCTGCCACAGCCAGGGACAAGAATGCCATAGCTAATACAGCCCTCACTAGCTGACTGCACATCTTTTTTCAGAATCAGACCTGGCGCTCGGCGATCTGTTCTCTTCTGTCTCTGTCTTGGCTTTGTGGTTCTCCTTGCCAGCAATATCATCCCTTCTTTTTCATCCTTCTGGAAACTTCTTGCTCTTCCAAGGTGACTTTAGATTTCACGTCTCTGAAGCTGGTCAAGTCCACAGTGATTTTCCTCCCATTCTCCTAATTCCTCTAATGCTTGCTGTCTACACTGTGTCCATTAATACCTAAGTACGTTGTCTTGGGCTTTTCACTATGGCTTCTTATGCTTTTTGTGTTCAAGTGTCACCACCTGTGTTGTGGCCCTGAGGAAGACTCAGGCAGGTGTTTGTGCCTCTCTGTCCTCCCACCCTTCCCATCTCTGTCCACATCCACATAAGCTCTGCACACTGGGTACTAGGGTTGGATACTTCTGGCTTCACTTAAAATTAGTGAAATTATTATGAATAGTAGGTAGTTTTGTTTGATTCAGGAGGTAAATATGAATATCACTGAGTACATGTGGAAGTGCTGGTGACTAGATTTGTAAAGCTTTATGCCTTATCAATGATTTGGTTGGTGGAAATTAGATAATTTCTGAAATAAAAAAGTGGAGGCAAAATAGAGTCTTAAAAGGAGCATACTTTCAGCTGACTAATGAACCGTAGAGTTTCGTGTTCATCAAGTTAACTTGGCGTTAAGTCTGAGCACTTACTTTTCCATAGGTAAACTGTAGGTAAACTTTACTAGGCAGTTAGACAGAGGTGCTAACCTTTATGATTAAAATGTTTTAGATCAAGAAGTGTAAGTTAATCTGTAGTTTAAGAAATGACAAATCTATGTGTAACTGAAAGTAATTGCCCAGGACTCCATGTGGGTCTGGCCATTGATTTCTGGTCATGATTCTCCTTCAAGTATTTCCCAGATGAAGCTGGTGGTGGTGACGTTCTTAACTGTTGCCGTCGATCCACCAAGCTTCTTGTATCCTAGATTGTTCCACAGCTTACTAATGTTTGTGCAGTTATGAAAGTGATAGAATATGGAAAAGGTAGTAAATAATAAGAGATAGTGGGAGACAATTTATACATATCATTTATATTTCACAAAAATTAGACTTTGGTGTTTGACATAAGCTAACAAGGCATAGAGTTTGTATGGAAGAAATTAAAAAAGCATGTCATATTCCACTTCTGGTGATGTACCCAAAAGAATTGAAAGCAGGGACTCAGAGATACTTGTACATTCATGTTCACCATAGCCAAGAGGTGGAAACAACCCAAGTGTCCATCTGTGGATGAATGGTTAAACAAATTGTAGTATTATGCACACAATGGAATATTATTCAGCCTTAAAAAGGAAGGAAATTCTGATACATGCCACAACATGGATAGACCTTGAGGACATTATGCTACATGAAAAGCCAGTCGCCAAAGGACAAATATTGTGTGATTCCAATTATATGAAGTACCTAGAGCAGTCAAATTCATAGAGACAGAAAGTTAGAATGGTGGTTGCCAAGGGCTGAGGGAGAGGGAATAAGGAGTTGTTTAATGGGTACAGAGTTTGTTTTGCAAGATGAAAAGAGTTCTGTGGATGGACATAACATTGAGAATGTTCTTAATGCTGCTGAACTGTACACTTAAAAATGGTTAATGTGGTAAATTTTATGTATATTTTACCACAACTTAAAAAAAGCATGTTGTTACAGGATTTCTGTGCTATGTGGATGTGAAATTGTCATCATCCTTAAAGTTGTGTGCAACGTCAGGTGAGGAGTGATTTCTCAGGTGCTCTTCCTACTGACGTTTCATGATGTATTATCACTATCAAATCTCTTAGCAGGAGCATTTAAAAGAAAAGATGAGAATACAGAGAAAAGATTATTAAGAATTGGAAATCCTAAAAATTTTCACTTTTGGAAATGTTTAGATACAGGAGAATCCTAGAGTGTTCTCAGCATTGTATAGAAAAATGTGGTTAATCCATTTCCTTTTAAATAACATCCTGATTTTTATTTTTCCTCTGTTTCTTTTCCTCTTCTACTTACATGAGACTGATAATGATCTACAAACCACTGACCTGAAAAGGAAGCCAGGCCCAGCTACTTACAAAGGGCCTGGAAGTCCCTGATCTCATTTCCCATCTGTCCTTTTGAAAAGAAAACAGTTTTTTCACAGTGTTTTGTCCTCACTTTTTATTATATACTGCCAAAAAAATCTTCTTAGTAC